GAAGAGTGAATCTTCACATTAAGTATCAGGGTTACTTTATTTTGAAAGGAATTGTTTTATGCCCTTGAAGAGACAGCTGCCCCACTGGCAGTGCTGAAATCTGCAGAAGTAGGCTTGATTCGCCCCCAGTTTTACACCACTGCAGCTCAACCAATTTTGATGGGGATTTCAAAGACTTTTGCCGTATTGAATTAATGGAATTCACATTCACGAATTAAAATCTCACCTATCTCTGAAACAAATTGGCTGAACAATGCAGCAGTGCACAAATATTACCTCTGCTGCTCTTTAATATCTAATGAGTTGGCACCTCTTTCTTTTATCAGATTTTATTTTCCTATCAGCCTTGTTAAATACATATTATTCTTTCATGCTCTTAAGATCAAAGCAAATAGCCATCAACAATCTTTTGTTCACATGAGACAACACTTGCAGAGATGGTTTGTTTGGCCTGGTTAATTAAAAGCTGTACCTATCATCCCTGCTTGATTTCTCAAGTTCTTTACTTAAAAAAATGTGTGACAATTTTAATGAGCTCTCACTCCTTCCCAGCCTCACGTCTTCTGCAGAAACCTTGAAAACTCTTGTTTTTGAAGATTAGGCAGAGTTTTGACTCCAGCAGATCTTGTGTAGGTAGGTGGTTCTCCGTTTCTGTGTGTAACTCTTATCTCGCATACTAATGGAGTCACTCGGAGAGGACAAGGACGTGGATCAATCCAGTGGAATAAGCAGATTAAAGACAAAAAAAGGACATTGCTTGCACGATGCTTAAGTAAACTGGGGAAAAACTTCTCACAAACTATTGTGGGACTATAGGTTTGCAGAGGTTCAAAGAGCTTTAGATTTGTTCCTGAAGACACATTTCATCCCATATAGAAAAGCGCTGTATCTAGATCCAGCCCTGGGATTACAGGTCACCTGGTGCTGAGGAGGGATGGTGGTACTCACACTGCATCCATCCCCTGCCCTCGCCCTCTGCCATGGCTGTCCTCCAGATGGAAAATCGGTTCCATGTGTCTCTGAACTGGGCTGTAAGAGCTGTCCTGTGTTCCCATCATCCACAGGAGCTGAACTGCATCCAACATGCCCATCTTTTGGCAGGGTAAGTTCCCAGGCTTGCTACATATGGAATAATATTTCTAAGTATTTCGAATTAGCCTTTGTGTGCAGGAACTTTGTGTGGATTTATACAACTGGATTTTCATCTCTTCTTTTCTTCATAGCAACTTTGCTTAACTGAGCTATTTACCCAGAGGTAGCATCTATGTAATTCAGGAAGGAACAAAGACGTCAACACTGCTCTGATGTGTATTTCAGGATTTCCTAAGTTCAGAGTTAGGCTTTTGCTCAAGCAACCCCTTGCTGCAACAGGGCTTTATGAACAGCTGTGTCCTGAGTAGCTCATTTCATTCTTCCTTTTCCTCCTGCTTTTGCAGAGATGCATTTATCAGATCTGCTTCAGATCTTCTGCTTTTTGTCCCTCGACAAGCACTCACAGGCTTATTGAGAGAAGTGGAGTTTTCCTGGCAGACAAAATATTGTACTCGCATTATATCGGACAAGGTAAACTTTTCTGTCTTGTCGCAGTACTTGGAATTACCTTGTCTTCTGATGCAAATGCTAAGAATTACTATCTATAGTTTTCACACAGTCTAAAATCTTGTGAAAAGTAACAGTTTTCAGCAAGCCTTTCAGCAGGTGAGACATGCATTTCACAGCTTCTTTTGAAATTGTTAGAGCTTGATCCAAAGCCCATTAAAGGAGATATTCCCATTGCCTTCATAATCACAGTCCCATTATTTGAAAGACAAATGGAAGAGGATAAAGTGCAGCCCCTCTGAACCCACTCATGGTGTTAAGTCGTGGCTCTGTGGAAGTTTATGGCAACTTTTTTGTTGTTTATGGCAACTGGGTCAGTATTTCACATTGGGTTTTTTTCTCGCATTTGAAATGCATCATCTTGATTTTCTGCTATGCTCCGCTTTCCCATCCCTCTCCTGACACAGACCTCAGTGCAGCTGGGTTACACGCTTTTTTTCTTTAATTCCCTTTCCCCTAACTAATTACTCTGGAGTCCTTTGTGCTTTTACATAAATTCTGCTTGAGTGCCTTATTTACTGCTAGCTCCCTAATTGTCATTAGGTAGCATGACCTCTGTTTCAAACAACTCTGAAGCTTTTATTAGCTTGTGGTTTCTCATTGCTAAGCTCCGTTTTGATCCTTTGAATGAGCCATTCCTTCCTCAGCCTGCCCAGTCATTGAAGTATTGTTTCAGAACACCATTTCTTCATATCAAACATTACCTCCTCAGCTCTTGAGTGAGTACAAACCCCTCTTAGTGGATAGATCAGAAACAATAATGAAGATTATGAAAATGAAATTAAAAAGACAGGGAAAAAAATAGAGCTAGACAGGACTAAACTTCTGTGAATAAGTCCTAACCAGTAATCCACAGAGAGCCTGTGCATTCAGAGGTTCTCTCATTTATTATTCTGTATTCTGACAGTCTGTTTTTCCTGTGTAATTTTCTACATCAGAAGCTACTGGGGACTGAGGCTGTCTGGTTTTTGACTCATGCCCACTTCTAGATTTCAATTTGTACCTAGAGCTTTTAGGTGCTGCTGCAGTAAAAATAACAGGGTATCAATATTTGATGGTGAGAAAGACACTACGGTGGCTTGTTATAACTTATTATTCAGGTATCCAATTTATGAACATTTGCTGATTCACACTTGAGTCTCTTTTGATGTTGTCTGATGAAGCCACCGTATGTTAGGTAACCAGTCAATTGAATCAACCATTTTATCACCAGTAGTTTCTAGTGAGGGTTTTTTTCTTGTGGCTGCTGCAAACTGATGTGAAGAAATGCATCATTAATGCAAAGAATATTGCAGAGGCAGAAGTGAAATACTTGCAAATAATCATATTTAAACCTGCTGTCCTCAGGTGTGTCCCCACACTGAGAGGGAGAGGCACCCATAGTCTCTTGTCTTGATGCACAACATCGTGATGCGGGCAGAAACGCTCAGTTCTTTTTTGCTTATTCATCCTTCCTTACCTGAAAAATATAATTTAGCTGATACATCATTATATTGAAAAGCGTACTTTGTTGCTTCATATTTTGCTCCTCTCCAGTTTCATATGGATATACGATTGATTATTAACCCCAAACTTATTTTCTCTTTGCACTACAAATTGCATGCAAACAACTGCTGCAGCAGCTGGTCATTATTGCCAAGGTAACAAAGATTTTTCATTCAAGCCTAAATCCCTTTCCTTCGCTGCTCCACACCCCAGTGAGAGAGTGCCCAGCACCATAGGGACATCTCAGCCATCCTCATTCCTAAGTCCAACCCTGGTCAGGGGCAGATCTTTTAGGTCAGACCAGAGTGGGAGACATGAAACAGAGAGGAGTGGGAGATGTAAGCAAGACCCCCAGAAATCCCAGTCTAGTGTTTCTCTCCATCAAGTGAGAGGCTGGCAGCTTGCAGTGGGAAACAGAACAAGGCCTAATGTGTGTCACACATATAGCTATAAGCGTATAAATAGCAGAGTGGGATGCAGCAAGGCACTATCATGTTTTTTGTGGTTTTAATGGCCTTGATATTACTGCCAGTTCCAACTTCTGCTCTTTTTATTGTTCGTTTCCTTTAATAATTCATTACCTCATCCAATCTTATGTTGTTAGTAATAAATATTAAATATCCAAACTGTGATGCATGAATTGGATATTTTCTTTTTATAAAAGGATTCTTGTATTAGATTTAAATGTCAATTAAAAGAGGAATATAAAAAAATAATGCTGTGCTTCAGTGAGTATTGGGATGAATGGAGCCTGATTTCCTGTGGGTTTGTGACTTACAGATGGATCTTGTCAGACAAAGTAAAGTGTGGCATTGAGTGCAGCTTTTCCCCATTAGGTGCAGATTCTCTGACGCCTACTAAGGAATGTGCTCATGCAGTGGCCTCACTGGCAAGAGGGGCTGTACACAGAGACCCTGACTCCATTTTCATTAAACTTCCAGCATCTGCATGTCTTTCAGCTCACTGCCCTTCTTCTAAACTCAGAAAAAATTGGTCAAGAGTTTCAACATCTACCAGGTGCAGCAGGTGGATGGAAGAACTGACACAACATTCACAAAACATTACAGGATAATATTTTCTGTCCAAAAGTTCATTGCTTACCTAATTGAGTTTTCATTTTTAAATTCTCTGCCTTTAATAGTTATGTTTTCTGTATATTTGTGAAGAAAGTCTCCAGATTCTGAAGTGCTCTCCTTGTGCGTAGAAGCTAAAAGGTGTCAGGCGTGCAGTAAAAGCTTACCTAAGGAAAACATATGCCAAACTCTGTACTGACTTGCATCCTAAAGTATCTCATTGACACGAAGAAGTATATGAACAAGCTTAGAAATTAATTTTGTCCAAAAAACCCAGGAGTGGTCCTGAAATTACTAATAAATGCAATTTACCCAATATTCTGCAAACTGGTGGAAACAACATAGTGACTAATAAGGTGATTTGAGGGCCCTATGAGATAGCAATGTATTTGATTTGGCTCCTTGGCTTGTGAGATGGTATTTCAGCATCTCAGCTAGTCTGCTAATATCTTTTAATAATCTTGACAAAATTGCACAGGCAGCTGGGCTCAGACACAACATTATGGCACTGGAGCATTGGGATCAGAGAAAAAAGCCCTCCATGGTAAAATATAGCACAATTAGGTAAGACGTTGAGTTTTCCTTCTTTCTCTTGAGAGTCTAAATTTTGCTGCAGGAGTCAGATAGATAAGTTAATGGTCAACTCCAGTATGTCAATATATTTCTAATAAAGAAATCAGTAATAAGCAGCAGTGAAAAATTGGTTGTTACATACACAGCTTGCTGTAAAAAAAGAAAAAGTACAATGGACACATTCAAATATTAAAATTTGCACTCCATTTCTAATACAGTTCCTGTAACAGAAGTCTTTTTTCCTTCTTCTTTCTTTCTTTTTTTCCCCAGGGTCAACTTACTGGAGGACGGCAGTCTCAGGCTCTATAATATCACCAAATCAGACGCCGGGGTGTACACTTGTATAGCAACAAATCAGTTTGGAGTTGCCAGAAATTCAGGGAACCTGATTGTGAAAGGTATTTTAGTGTTTTCTTTTGTGCTTTATCAATATTAAAGTATGTGCTTTTTTTTCCCCTTGGGATGCCCAAGACTGTGCCAACAAGTGCTGGTATTGACAGGTTTTTACTTGCAGTTTCAAGCTGAAACTGAGCTCTCCACCGTCCGCAGCAAAGAAAACCTCATGACTACACAACTTCAATGATCAATTTGTTTATCAGGGAGGTCTCCCAGTATATCCACAGAAACATGCAGTACCATTAGCAGTGATACTGCACTGCAGAACCGTTTAGATATCACAGGTATGGGCTGTGCTGCTGCAGGCATTGGGCAGCCAAAGTTTGAATGAAGAACGTCCTCTCACATTACCATTCTTTTCTTCTCCATTAAGTACATGAGATAAAAGTTTAATTCTCTCCTTAAAAAGAAAGTGATTTGCCTCTTTGAGAGGCACCACTATGAACTTGTCCCATCAGGATCATTATAAGAATCCAAATCCTACAACCTCTAAGACAAAATGACTGATGGGATCTGATGAGATGTGTCACAGTGCAACTACCTGATGTTTCCCAAACGTGATGTTTCCCAAACTTTGCACAGTGTGTTTTGCATAGGCTGTGTGGGCCTATGCAATGTATTGAGCAGTCTGTGTTGCTTTTGGGTGGAATCTGTGTCCTCCCCTGAAAACACTGACAACCTCAACACCTAATTCAGTTTTTCAGACACCTTGGTGAGGTCAGCTTTATTTGTAGGTGTTGTGATGCTTTAGTTGGAGGCATAGAAATAGCTTCCCTAACAGCCATTCTGTGATCATCAGTTTAAATATCCAGAACATGGTGTTACTGGGTAGGAGACACACCATATCCAATGCTCACGTCTGCTGTAATCCTCCTTCCCTACAAAGCTGCAGCTTTGTCTGCACTGAGGCTGTTTCTGGTGTAACCACACACCCTGGCTCTGGTCCCAGTCCAGTGATGCTCTGCAGGGGCACGTCTTCAGCCTTCATTGAAACACAGTTAAATACATAGCGGAACACATTAAAGTGCATTATGTCCAAAGTTGTCCTTTGCTTCAAGTTGTTGCTGTGCTGATGGATGGTCTATCTCCATTATTGCTCAGATGGACTAGTCTAGAGCTGGAGGACAGGTAAAGAGATGTTGTTTGTATAGATATAGGCAGCATATCAAACGACTATGCTCTGATCTTTGATCACTGACAAGAAAAAAAAAAGGAAAAGTGAAGCAAACAGTATGTTTTTTTCTCTTAGCTCCCACACGATCTTTTATAACACAGACATGGTTTTATACAAGTATTCATATTTGTTGATCTTTAAATGCAGAAAACAAGTTAAAAAGTGGAATTTCTGAGATTATAGTAAGCATATTTATCAGTTTTGCAAAACAGCAAAAATAATAATGTCAGTAGTCTAATGAGAAGAGCACATTATTAAATATAATTTGTAACTCTCTCTCTTTTCTTAATATTCTTGTTTTCAATTACTTCAGAATGCTTACTGTAGCCTGCAGGCATGACCTCCCCCCTAACCCACTGCAGCTGGAAAAACCTTCTTCATACTCACATTATGAAAGAGCAATTAGCATTGATGCAATGCCACGCGTAATCTGAGTCCATGTTACAGCACAGCTAGCAGTGAATAAACCAACAAGTTTAGGGTTTAGGCAGCTCTGACTTCATTAAGGTTATATACCATTTCACATATCACATACATACATCCTAATGGAGCAATATGGGAAAATCACATTAAAACATGAAAAAAATATTTTGTTTGGCATTCATGAAGTTTATTAAAACACTGAGTAACAACATGGTATAAAAATGATCTTGTTTGCAGGGAACATTTGTTTTTGTTTCCCCTCTGGAGAAGTTTTGGCTGTTCAATTATAGGCCTCATTGCTTCAGCATTATTTTCAACTGAAATGTCAGAACTTGGAAAAGCATATCTAATGTGCAAATTAAGTTTATTGCTGCTCATTGAGTTGTTTATTCTTTGTGTGAGAAGTCTTTATTATACCTCCAGCACTCACAACATCTTATCTGTTTTCTCCTCTGGAATGTTATTTGCCATATAATGTACGTCTGCAGTTGCTAAGCAAGATAGATAGATAATGTAGAACCAAGAGCTTTTAAGAAGCTTTTAAAGGTATTTGAGGTGGAAGTCTTAAAGACGAACCCATAAAAGAAGCAGAAAATATCGCACAAGTGAACCACTCTCCATCAGTGGCACCACCGGATATGAACAGGCTAGAACAGGAGATACAAGAGGATGATACTACCATAATAAAATTATATTTTTGCTAACACTGCTAAAAAAACACACCTCACACACAAATCCAGTATAATTCACAAAAGGACAGTTTTCAACATTTACTTGGTGAGGGCAAATAGGTTCCTGCCAATAAGTACGTAGACTTCTTATAAAACTAACAGCATATAACTATTAGGATTTGTTGTGCTAGTAACCTTTATGTTCTGGTGTTCCAGTACAGTGGTTCACTAGAGGTTTCCACAGAACACATTTTTTTCAAGTATTCCATAGGTTTTAACAGCTAAATGATCTCTGGAATTTTTATTCCTTCTAATAATATTCTGTAACAGGATTGCAGATGTCTTATTTACAGTCTCTTTGAATGTGTGATAAAATAATGACATAAGAAATTACATGACAGACCTAATGAGGCAACCGTAATACTGGAGAAAAGTTCCAAAAAATTCCCAGCCAGTTTCATTACAAGTGGCTGAAGCTAACAACCCCTTCCTGTACAACTGGGTTTGATGTGGGCTTAAAAATTTTACAAAAAACTGGACATAATTTTCTATTTATATTCTACAGGGTTTAGAATGTAACTGTTGAATCTGATTAAAAGTTCTATACAATCTTGTTTGTACCATTCTTGCTTAGTCTTTCTTCAACCTTTCCACAGAAATAAATTGATTTTATTTATAGTATTTTACTTATTTATAGAATGCTGTAATTGTACTCAGTGCGTTGCAGAAGAGTAAAAATGCACTGATCCTGGTGACCAACCATCCAATACAGAGAAGCAGGAGTTACAAAATGAGGTGGCTTTAAGTCGTGCGGCAGTAGAGGTTATGTGGGTCTTGTGAAGGGTAGATATTTTAAAGAGAAATTTGAAGGACAGGGAGCACTTGACACATGGAAAATTCAGTAGTGGCATGAAGATTTCTTAATGCTGAGTGAACAAAAGCAGAAAAGGCGAAAAGAAAACTTTGTGGATGTTCTCTGTAGTTCCCACATATACTTTTCAACATTATTCTATAAAAGTTACCTGTACTTCACTATGGGATTACTTCATTTGAGATTTATGAAGCCAAGCTCTTTGCCAGCGTGTGCTGCAATCAGTGGAGTTGTGCCAACAAAGGATATGGCCCTTGAATCATCGGGAATTTATTGCATCTGACACACTGCTTCCAGGGAGAGGAGGAGGTTTCTCTAACCTAATGATCGAGTGTCTTCAAGACAGTCATCTGAGGCCTTCACATTTCTGCAGTCCTTGACTTCAGAGAAACTGATGGAGCTGCCACAGTGATATTTTTATGTGTCTGTGAAGAGCAATCAGGGTATGCAGAGAAATCTGAGATAGCGTGTTCCTGGTCTGAGCTCTAACTCACGATGAGAACCTCTGATGCTCTCTTAGCGATGCCAGAAAAAAAGCCTCCTACTTTGCCTATAACAATAAAAATCAAACAAGTTCTTTCTTTGTTTTACGTGGAAAATATCACCTGAAGCCTGCAGCAGGTATATCACTAAAAGTAGTGACATCCAGTTGGTTTTTTCAAAGGTTAGCAGAAAATGCACCATAACATCTTATTGCTACTTGACCACTGACATAACAGTCACTCGTCCAGTGCAGCTCGGGTGCTGGGAAGAAGCTCTTCAAGTTTCAGCCCATATTGCCTGTCTGCACCTACATACTAATCAGTTACTGCAATGATGGGGACAGCCTGGATGAAAATGTGTTTGAAGGTAAGGGGTTGGGTGCCCTATCATGCATCAACCCTTTGGGACCAAGGGCTTGGTAAAACCAAAATCCTGAATTTTCAAGTACATTTCTAACAGTGTTAAACCAGATTGAACGCTGAACTAATATAGCTCATGCAAATTTTCTTCTCCTCCTCTCACATTATTTCCAGAACATAATAATATTGTTGAATAGATTCTGCTCTCATTTTGTTCATGTGCTTCTCAGTTCTCACCATTTTATAACACTTTCATACACAAAAGCTTTATTCAAGGGAATTGCTTACACCGAAGTGGTTGTTATCTCTAATCTATCTGCCAGTCATATCAACAAAAGTGAAGCCATATAAACCTATTTCTTTCCCCTTCAGCAAGATACTATTTCCCTTAATAAGAGCTGCAAGTTTGTTTCTCAGTGTAGGGGGTTAAAAAAGATTACTTAAATAGTTTTTCTGTCTGTGGAGATATCTTCTTTGAAGCTGTAACATAAGCAGCACTGTGCGGTAAACTACCACTAACATTAATATAGATTAAGGATCTCAGTGTATAAAGTGGAGATGGAGAGCAATTTTGCTTTTGCTGCAGTTTCCTATAAGGAGAGGTTTTCAACTTTGAAGAACCATGGGCATATTTTTAAGAGTCTTAATAAGAAATTCTGCACTTTTTTGAGCTGAAATCATATCTATTGACTATAGGCTTTATAAAGTAACATATGACTAATTTAGCATGTTGCCTCTGACATCTGCTCATTTTCAGAGGCACACAGTGTGCTCATCATATTGATACTGCAAAAGTAATAGGCTACACATGGGTAAGAGTGTTCTGAAATCATCAGTGTATTAGAGATAATCTTCTTTATTATGGAATATTTCGGCCAATTTTAAATCATCTCACAAATGGTACAAAACTCATTCAAGATCTACTATTTTTATAAGCATATTATTAAAAAAAGATTATTTTTTGTCTCCACAGAAAGGACTGTAATTACTATTCCACCTTCTAATATGGATGTAACAGTTGGAGAAAGCATAGTCCTTCCCTGCCAGGTGTCTCACGACCCCTCCATTGATGTGGTGTTCACATGGTCATTCAATGGCAATACAATTGATTTTAATAGAAGAGTACATCATTTTGAAAGAATCGGA